CTCTTTCTGGTTTTTCAGGATTTGGCTATGGGTACTGCTTAATGGTGGGTTTCCATTTTTTTTTTTTTACTACTGGTTCACTCGTGGGTACATGCATGCGCAGAAGCATCCGGACGGGTGGGCAGAGCCTCCTGCCACCACTGCCACTACCCACCTTTATACTGTCACTAATGTCCTGTTATTTAAAGTGCTTATTTCATTTATGTTGCCAACATACCATTGTGTGATTATTATCATTTATTAGATTTAATGCAACCACCAACTACAATCAACTCTGGGTGGCTTGCAAAATACAGTTAATAATTAAATCAATTAAGAAAATAACATGAAACAGGACAAACCAGACCCAAAAACAACATTAAAAACAAGCAGAGCAGGACTTATTCCCTCAGCCCAAGCAAAGCCTGGTTTTAAAGGGCTTTTTCGAGCCCCAGGAGGGAAGGTAACAACCATACCTGGGAGCAGGGATACTCTTCTAGAGGGTCATGGCCATGGCAGAGATGGTGCACTTGACAATATACAATATTTGGGCTCATTTCATCTCAAGTACATAAACTTCTTTAAAAATCACAATGACTTATTTCTGAACTAATCTCTAGAAAAAAAATCATCTATAAACTCGATTTTATTTATTATCATTATTATTACTTATACTTTATATTTCTTAACCGTCCATCCTTCTTGGACACATTTTGTATTTTGCTAAGCAAAGTGAACAGACATGTTTTCAACATAAATCTAATTTGCTGAATGCCAGGCTTCCACAATTGGAACCAGAACTTCAGTCACTTAAGTGATGCGGTCATTGAGTCATGCCAGATTTTACCATCTTTTTTTGCCATTGTTAGGTGAATTTGGATTCTTCCACTGACCTGTTGTTGGAAGCTTTCTGGGAAGGTCATAAATGCTGATCCCCTGATCCTGGGACACTGGAATTATCATAAATACATGCCACTTCCCAAGTGCCTGAATTTTTTTATGACTGTAGGAACACTACAACAGTTGTGAGGACCAGACATAGGTCACCTTTTTCAGTAGCATAACTTTAAATGGTCATTAAATGAATGGTCATACATCAAGGACTACCTGCATGGTATATATCCAGAAAAGGAGAAAGATCTTGTATGTGAGCATACTCTTCTCATATTTCCCATATTTCATTTTCACTAAAGTTGTTATGATTTTCTTTGTTTCTTTCAATTGTATCTGTTCGTTGTCCCTGTTGGTTACATTCCCTTCAATGTTTTCTCTATATACATACTGTATTTTACATTATCTTTTCTCATCCTCATTTTGGGAAGTAATCATACTCTGATATACATTTTTTTCATGCCAGGTTCTCTTTCACTTGATCATTTCACTTTAGCATCCTTCTTCATACTTTCCATTTCCTGGTCACCAGATGAGATCCATAGACATTGACTTCTACCACCCATCATGATGCCGGCCAGGTGACACTTTTGCATAACCCTTTTTAGTAAGTTAAATATACAGTAGTGTAGGCTAGGTTGCCAGTTTAAATCATACACATACCATGTTGCATTCCCTGAAATAATAAGGGCAATAGTAGTCAGTTTTGACCTGTATGACACATGCACAAAGTCCAATTTTACCAAAATTGTTGCTCATGGTATACCTCCTGTGCAAGCTAAGATCGCTAATATAGAGACTACTTTCAAGGATACCCTGGGGGTAGGGGTGGGCGGGGAAGGGAGGGAGTGTAGATGTCTTTTTTTAAAAAAATGCATTATACCAGGAATTCATATTAAAAAGAGTTGGGGCTTTGATTACTTGGTCACAGGAGCCATCTTGACTTGTTTTGATATCTCTTGCCCCCTTCCCTGATGGATTCTCCTGATTCTCTTGCAAACCAGTATATAGTTCTCTTATTATCCCATCAACGGAAAGTTACTTGTAGAGTCAAGGAAAACAAAACATTAGACAGTACTGTGCATACAATCCTTGTTGTGACTTAGAAGATCCACAAAGATGCTGAATTTCACATCGCATAAAGCGAATAGCACTTACTCCCACCCCCACCCCACTCCAATAGAAAGGAAGAGGCTACATATCCTCGAAACCCGAAAAAACTCTGGTCTTTTGCATCGCACTTTCCATTTTATATTTCAGATCGGCTCGTAGACCACACGGCCTCCTACAGCTCCAACCTTAAACCTTCTCAGGCAACGCCAGATGTAAGGGCAGACCTGCTCCTGCCCAAACCGAAACGGAGACGACACATTATCACATTTCAGATAATGACATTTCTCCAGGGACAACGTTTTGTATTGGGGGAAGAGAGAGAGAAAGAAAATGAGCATCCTTTCCAGCCCCGCAACCTGCAGCGGCTGAAGCCATTTCACCGGATATCCAGGCTGGTTCGCCGCCTCTTCAGTGCCCGCAGCGCCTCCCCTCCGAGGGACCTCAGAAGTAGCGCCTTTATTAGCCTCGCGAGGCCGCGCCTTCTTTTTGACGGAGCGATTCCACCCTCGCAAGAAGCGAAGCGAACGGATCAGACAAGTCGGCGACGATGCTGGGATTCCTGGGGTCCGTGTTGCCGCTCTTGGCCTTGGTCCCTCTTTCAGTATTTGTGCTAGTGCCGTATGTCAGGTTTGTAGTGGGGTTGATTTGACTTAACTCTTGTGGCCTGGCAAGCTCTCGCCAGTGCAACTTCAAAAAGGAGAAAAAAGCTACTGATTTTTTTAAAAAAAATCTTTAAATCGGTGAACTCTATAATATAATGTCCTATATTAGCGCTCTCTCGATTTCTGGTGAATTGGGCTTTTCCCTGTTGTATGTGCGGAGTATCCTCACCCCCACCCCCTCTGTGAGTGTGTGGATGTTATATGCATAAGAAGCTAACTTGGATTGCTATGACAAATTGCATTGCATTGCGAGTACTTCAACAAGGGACTGGATTTTAAAACCTCACCCATTTAAATGACTTATTATATTTTACAGGAAGTATTTTGGAGGAAGGGTGTGCAAGTCTGCAGTGCAATTGAATGGGAAAGTTGTAGTGATCACTGGAGCCAACACTGGTATAGGGAAGGAAACAGCGCAAGACCTTGCAAGAAGAGGCAAGTTATTCATTTGTGTTTATCCCTTATAACCCCCAGAAATTGTAATAAAAGGAATTCAAGATGGGCAGGGAACTTTGGCTTTCACAGCAGAATCTAAGTTCATTATTAGTAGAATGTAATACAATTTTAGGAGATTCAGATTTTGGGAAAAATCTCTTTTTAAATACATTGTAATATAAAGTGGCAGTAATCCTGCATAAGATGAAAATTCTTATGCAACACAAGTCAACCTTCGTGCTTGCGTTCAAAGGTATGTCTTCTTGTCTCTAGCAGTCAAAGTCAATTAAGGTAGTTACATTGATTAGCTAAGGCTGCTGCAGCTTACAAGGTTTTTATTGACACTGTGAGATTCCTGAAAATGTACAGGCTGTCCTGTTCACTTTGCATCACACTATCTCTTTTTAGCATGCAAGAATGTAGTTTAGCTCATGATAAAATTAAGCCACTTTTTTGTTCACTCAGTACATTATACCATGAACTGAAATAAACAGGCTGAACTTGCACAAAACTCAGCTAAGATTTAGAGCTGACTTGGGTAAATACATTGTATGAACACAAGTCAGGTCTCCACAATAGTGTTCCCCTTTTATGAAATAGACTTATTTCCATTAACGTCCTGCTGCTGATTTTGACATCAAGTGAACTGTACAATTCAAAGCAGGTAGTTCTTCGTTAACAACAACAGTTGAGACTCAAATTTCCATCTCTCAACAATGCAGTTGTAAAATATGATGTCATGTGACTGCGTTGCTTAGTGGCAGCAGTCCAGGTATTTCCAGTGGCATTGAATTCCACACTGTCATTAAACAAGAATGGGTTGTGGTTCTATTTGCAACCTCCTGCTGGTTTCCCCATTGACTTGTTTGTAGGACACCACTAAAGAAGGTCACAAATAGTGACCACACAACCTTGGGATGCTGCGATGGCTGGAGCTCCTTCAGCACCACTGCAAGTTTCAGTGATTGTTGAATGAGTGGTTATTAACCAAGGACCACCTGCAATTCTGACCTAGTTTACCATTTACAATTGGTACTATAACTTGAGCTAGCTAGATAAGTGCTGATCTCCATTCATGAAGATGAGGTAAATGGAAGTAGTTGTGTTTTTTATTTTCTTCTTAGCCTTTGTTTATTGTGTGTTATAGCTATACTGTTCTTCCCAACGAATGCATCAAAAGCTCTATATTTAAATAGTGAACTTATTATGGGTATGTGCATTGTATTTATCTGGAATTGCATTATCTGTACATAAGAAGAAATCTTTGTCTTGGTTGGAGATCTCAGCATTTCCAAATCTGATACCAGGGTGCTGCTTGCAATATTTATGTATGTATGTATGGAGCATATGGCACACAGTGTCAGGGAAATCTACACATGCTAGACACAATGCAATCCTGACAGCCTATATTGGTAGTTCATTTTGTTGGGCGCCTATGTGCCTATTCTTGGTGCACTGCAAGGGACTATAGGAAGTTATCACCCAGCTCTCTCCCAGAAAAATGAAATATCCTAGGAAATATTGAAAAGGCAGAATATTTCTCT